GCATGTGCTAGAATAAGCCCTCCCTGAAAATAAGACCTCCTGGATAATAATCCCAATGGGGCTTTTGAGCGCATGTGCTAGAATAAGCCCTCCCTGAAAATAAGACCTCCTGGATAATAATCCCAATGGGGCTTTTGAGCGCATGTGCTAGAATAAGCCCTCCCTGAAAATAAGACCCTCTGTGTGTGTGTGTGTGTGTGTGTGTTTAGGGGAGCTGAGGAGGAGGAGGAAAGCCCTGTGCGCTCAGACCCAGAGAGAGGTGAGGGGTGGGGAACATGAGGCACATGTGTGCACACAAAGCTTTTCTACCTGGCCTTGGGGAGGGGGCGCAATTCCTTGTGGGTGGCTGTACCTCATTGTTCACAAAGACAGATAGACCAAATGCATGCTTTTTTGGGAGGGGTGAAGGGTGAAGCCCAAGAGACCCCCATCCGCTCCCCTTCCTAAGAGATCCTCCCAAGGAACTCGGCAGGTGTACAAGTAACAACAGACTCGCAGAGTCCCTGGGTCAAATTACTCTTCAACTTTGACCAAGGAACAGTTGGTAGGGATCTTGGAGGTCTTCTAGTCCAACCCCCTAACCACGCATGACCCTCCCCCATTCACTTCTTACAAATCTACAGGGTTGAAGCACCCGCAAGGAATCATTCCGCTGCTGAACTGCTCTCCTCCGTTCTAGCCTGGATCTCTCTCTAGTCAGTTCCCCTCCGTTACTTCTTGTCCTGGTGTCAGTAGGTCTCCCCCTCCTCTCTCTGGCAGCCCCGCAAATATTGGGGAACTGCTGTGTGACCCTTGGTCCTTCTCTTGCTTAGCCTGGGTGCAGCCGTGGTTTGTGGACTGCTGCAACCTAGAGGTGGGGCTCTGGCCTCACAGTCAGGAGGTTGTGGGTTCAATCCTAGGTGGAGGCAGATGTAGAGTCTCCTGCTTGGGCAGGGGGTTGGACTAGATGACCAGCCAACTCTGTTAATCTGTTGTCGTTGGCTTCCTTCCCGCCCACCCATCCCACCCACTGCATCCCACTTAGAGAAAGGACTGGGCAGCCGATCTGTCTGGAACTCTCAGCAGGCCCCCCTAGGAAGACAAAGCTCCCGGGGCCAGCAGCCACCACGCAAGCCCGGGGCATAGAGCTACCCTGGTGGCCACCTAAACCCTTCACAACTCTCCCTGCTCTGCTTGGTCCAGGCTGGTTCAAGGGAGGCAGGGACACAGAGGGTCCCTGGACAGACCTGATCGGAGCAGGTCACGCGATCCCACTGCGGACCCCGTAAACGGGATTCTGCTCGGAGGAGGAGCTGGTGTATCGCAAGGATCACGGGGCGCCTCCTTGCAAAGAAGCCTGGGGAATGGGGGATGAGCAAAAGCTCTGTGGCTGTTGAGGCCTGCAAAGCTGGCCGTTTTGGGGAACCTGGGCACCATCCACCTCCGTCCTACCTGGAATTATTTCTGAGGTTTGGCAAAACTGGCCTGTCAGGAGGGCAGCTGGGCTGGGGAAGCTCCTGATGGAGAAGGGAAGGTTGGGCTTCCCTAGGCGGCAATTCCTTAGGTGGGGCTAGTCGAGCGCGGTTCTCCCGCTCAGATGGGCCACTTGGGGGGGGGGGGGAAGGGAGGGTCAGCGAGGGCCTGATGCCCTCGAAAGATGGGGGGAGGGGGGCCTTCCATTTATTGCAACTACTTCACCACGCCGGGGGGGGGGCATCATGCCTTTGCTGCCCCTAGGAAACAGCAGGCGGGGAGGGGGGAGGAGGACGGTGCCCTCCTGGAGCTAAGCTAGGTGGGTCGGGCTTCCCGGGAGCCGTCAGGTGGGGGGGCTGGAGAGCCTGCCCTTCTCCGGCTATAGAGAGAATTGGATTAACATGCACGTGACGGAGGAGGCACGAGAAGAGTAATTAATCACCAGTTAGAGAAAATTAATACCAACCGCGAAGGATGTCTGGAAGCAGCCAGACAGCTAATCAAGCGGAAAATTGGACAAGGAGCCGGGCTGAGAGCGGAGCCGCGGGGCGGCTCGGTAGGCAAGCGACGGGGTGCTGCCTCACACACACGCACCCCCGATCACATTGCTGATCGGATGCCCTTCCGAGGCGGCCGGTTCCCAACGCTGAAGGCAGCGATTCCCGCACCCTGCGCTTCTTCCCCGGGGCTCTTGCGGGAGAGGCGCTGCGGCCCGGGAGCATTTCGACTGCCGCGTGCAGAGGGCTTCGCTCCTCCAGCTCATCTTCCGGGCTGCCCGTCAGCTTTCGGCCCGGGGGAGGGCGTTAACGTCCCGGGAGGCAGAGCAACGACTGAATGTCTGTCCGTTGGGCTTTCCTTTCGCCTGGCAGCGCTCGCAGGTGTTCCTGCGCACCCTAGCAGTCTCCCAATATTTGAGGAGCTGTCACAGAGAAGAGGAGGAGAACGCGGCTTCTCCAAAGCAGCTGAGGGCTGAGCAAAAATAATAGATAAACGCTGATTAAAGAGAGATCGAGCCAACCTAAAATCAAAGAGAAACTTCCCTCCAGAGGTTGTGGGGGCTCCAACACCGGAGGCTTTTAAAGAGGAGATCGGGCAGCCACATGATTTCCTGCTCGAGCAGCGCATTGGATTAGAAGGGTCCCTTCCAGCTCTCTTTGCTCTCCTGTCCTTATTGCATTTAGTTCAAGATTTTTTTCCCAGTTCATTCCTCCACCACCTGCTTCATCTGATACAACGGGATTAATATCAGTCATGTGACCAGACCAGACTTGCTCTATCACTGACAGATCCACTCAGGAGGGCCCTGTTTGGTGGATACCGCCTATCACAGCCTTAAGGAGGCATCCCGCAAGGGCTGCCAAGGGCCCCTCCTGAGGAAAGACTCTGGATAGCCGAGCACTGGGGAGACAACAAGAAGGCTGTGGCTGCCCAGACGCCAAGCCTCTCGACAAAGTGTAGCCCTTGGAAAAGGCACCTGCAGGCTAACGTGGCTCTCCCCCCCCCCTGCAGCCCCCCTCCTTCCGTGGTGACTTTGGGCCCCTAACTCCTTCTCAGCCCCACTCCTTTCCTGGGCCACATTAAGGATCGCGCATCAGGCAAAGCGTTGCTGCCTTCGTAGGGCTTCCCTCCTATTTGGGTTGCCATTGCCGAGGGCATCCTGGCCACCTGGGTGTGCAGGTGTGCTGTGCAGATGTCTCAGCAGCCCTTAATGCCAGGCTAAATCCAGGTAGCATCCTGGAGGACAGGCCCCTTCTTGGCACCCGTCCCCCTTGGGACACACCTGATCCCGGGGCCATTCAACTTCTGCATCAGCTGGCAGAGGCTACAAGTGTTCTGGAATGGCGCTCCCATCCAGTGAAAGAGTTAACGCCTTGGAATGCCCAGTGAAATCCCCCGAGGGGTGTAGAGAAACAGGTGGCCTTGATTTCAGAGGCAGGTCAAGGAGGTCCTGGCAGGGCAGGCTCCTCCTTGAAAGAAGGCCAGGAATTTGGGCACACTACTATCTCTAGCCATGCAGATCAGCAGCTGGGGGAAGGGCTGTTTTTGCCCACTTTCACCTGGCTGCAGCCCTTCCTAAGTCCATTTGATTTAGCGGAGGTCCCTGTGCCCTCCAAGTATCCAGTTGATATGGCCAACCCGAAGTTGCGAGTCATGCAAAATTCTGCTCTTATCCAGTTAACCGGCCAACTCTGCATAGACAACTTTAAAGTCACTTCCCCACTCCCCCCCCCTGTGACTTAGGGCCTCACTGTCTGAGGGATCCAAATGGAGAGGGGAGCCCTCCCCCAAGGCTGTCCGAGACCCGTTTTCCTGTCTCAGTGAGGTGTCCAGGTCGGGGAACATCCGCACTCTCTGGGAAGCTATGCTTGGCCCTCGGAGAATTTGTGAAAATCCACCCCCTTCTCATTGCAGGAGGGCACAGAAGTCCCCCCCCCCCTAGTATTTATCTTTATTTAAGCATTTGGCTTTTTCTAGCCTGCTTTTGCTTTGGGCCTTTGCTAGCCAACTAAGGACTTGCCAGGGGAGAATCAAAACTATTTTAGGACTTTTGGCTCATTATTAAGAGAACTGAATAAGGAAATAATGGGATGTGGCCAGTCTATTGCCAGGCCCTTAGGCCAGCAGGAAAGGGGGGGATTCAGAGGGTCCCCGAGCTGTCCAAAGACCCACCGCTGTCCCACCATTCCACATTCCAGCAGTTTCACAAGAAGGCTGCACCTCCACACACACACACACACAGACCTTTTGAATCCTTGAGTCAGGCTGCCTCCTTAAGGAAAAGGACGGGCATCTGGACAGATGCCTATGTGCACCTGTGTGCCAGGCTCATTCCTGCCCAATGAACATCACTTACCTGCAGGGAGACCGCCAGGAGAACATTTTGCTTCTGCTGAGGGCAAAACCATTGTGGGACAAAGAGACGCCTGAAGGCTTCCCCCACTTGCCCCGTGGAACTCCTGCTGCTCTGCCTCACCCCCTTCTTCTTCTTCTTCGGGGGCAGCCATGAGCATCCAAGGGCCTCGACCCTGCTCCGCGACCCCCACCTCCCCCACCTTGCAAGCAGGAGGAAGAAGCCTCTTGGCCGGAGGAGCCGGCCGGGGCCGGTGATGCGCTGACCCCAGACGCCCTGAACGTCGAGGAAGGGCCAGGCAGCCGCCTCGAAGGAGAGCCCGACCCGGCCCTCCCTTGGGTCTGGATTGTGCAGCTTCTCCCGGCAGTTCTGGGTAGAGAACCCGGGCGCTTCCCTTGGCCGGACAATTCCAATTATTTCAGAATGTTCAGCGTTGCTGTTTCCATATTTTGGGGATCCAGGCTGAGCAAACGACTTTGCCTGCCTGCTTGCCTTGCAACCCCTCTGAGGGGACGGATTGTCTGGACAGGCGAACCGAACCGTTGGCCCGGGCCTTCCGGATGAAGGGACGGCCCCTCACCCCCCGCAGTTCTATTGCCAAGTCCGGCCTCGCTTTATTCCGCCCCGGCTGCTCGAGCCGGACTTTTTACTCGGGAAATTCGGCTTTTGGAAGGCCCCCCCCCCCCTCGCCCTCGTCCTTCTGGCGGAGGGCTATCCAGAAAGGCCTCCGCTGCTCTTGACCGGGGGATTCTCCGCGCCGCTGGGCCTCCTGCGTTGGGACGACGGCGACCGGGGAGCTGCCTGCGGACGGTGGCGGGGTTGGTTTCTGAGGCAGCTGCGGCGTTCCTCCAGCCCTCCCCACCATGCATTCCCTTCGATTGCAGCCGACCCCCCTGGCAACCCTCCGTGGGAAACGGGGGAGGGGGGCTTCTAGCGCAGCCCTTCTGTCAGCCAGGTCGCAAGCGCGGATGCCGCAGCTTTCCCGCCTCGCCTCCAGCTGCCTAGCCCTGACTGGCCGGAAGGCCCTCCCGTCCAGCATCCCCGGGGCAAACGTCGCCCGTCCCGAAGCCCCTGGCGATCCTGTCAGGGAGGGGGACATGTGGGGCGGACCAGGGGCCCTTTGGGGCTTGCCTTCGCGGAGTAGGCTCCTGCGTTCCGGGATAGAGGCTGGTTGGCTCCCAGCTTGTGGCGGTTTGCCCACCCCGCCTTTCCTGCGGGAATCCGCCAGCAATTTGGGTCGTCTCCCCCTGCCTTCTCCGTCCGCGGCGGAGCAGATGGCAGAGGCGGCTCCCGGCTGCTAATTGAATTGTTCTGGGCGAAGGCGCGGTGCGGAGGAGCAGGAGAGGAGCCCCGCCCTCTCAGCTTCTGTCGGGGCCTCAGCTCGGCTCCATCTTTCTTCATTAGGGAGCCCTCCCCGCCCCCGGTCCTTTGGCTTCCTGCGAGGCTGCTTCAGTTCGGAACGGTTTTCTGCCTGCAAACCCCCCAGAGGGGATCCAGGCCAACCCTGAGGTCGCAAAGACCCCGAGACCTTTTCTCCAAAGGCTTTGAGCCCCTCCAGCTGAGCCAGGTGGGATTCCAGACCTTTCCTCTACCGACACCAAGAAAGAATCGGGCCCCGATCTCCCGGCCGCTCCCCAACGGCGTGGCTCTGGCCTCCGCCATTTCCTCGAACTCTTGCAGCGCTTCAGCTTCAACTAGTCTTTCGGCTCCTCACCCACCCCGACCTCCTCCGTTAGCACACAAACGCTGGAAGCGGGTTTGGCATCAAGTATGTCCTTTTATTCCAAATATGTACACGCACACGTGACCGAAAAGGGGGGGAGCGGCGGAAGGGCAGAAGGCGGGGTGGCCATCCGTTCCTGGAGGGGTCTCCTGGCCGGCTCGGTAGGCTGGGATGCACACCCAGCGATGCCGGCCTGGGATCTCTCAAGAGCCCGCTTCTTCGGCCCACCACGGCTCCGAAAGGACGCGAGCGGCTACTCTAGCTCGGGCTGCCATCTGCTCTATTGCCACCCGCTCTCCTGCTCCGCAGGTGCCCCCTGTGGCCCCTCACCCAAGGAAGGACACGAACTCACAGATAAAATAGCCGTGGCCACAGGGACAATGGGGCGCTGGAATAATAATAACAATAACAATAAAATTAAAATTTTAAAAATTGCACCAAAACATCCCCTCCACTGAAAAAAGGGGGCGGGGAGGAGAGCGGGAGGGAAGCCGCGGGGAGGGGAGCCAGGCGACCGTCCACCACATGCGGAATTGCGGATCAGGAATGGGAGGAGCGCTTAAGGTGCGGTGCAGGGGGGGCGGGATGGACGGGGCTGCGGGAATCCAGGAGAGACAGATCCAATCCGGGGGAGGGAGGGGCGATAGGAACGGTCTTGTAGCCCAGTCTTATAGTCCTCAAGCGGCCAGAGGCAAGAAGGGGGAAGGCGGCAGCTGGAGGAGGCAATTCTCCCTCACGTATTGCCCCCTCACCGGCCCTCAGTCTCCCACGTCGATCTCTTCCTCCTCCTCCTCTTCCTCGCCGTCGGAGAAAGGGTCCGTGGTGTGGCGTGAAGCGCTGGGTGAGGGCGGGGGCGACGTGCGGGAGAGGTTGCTCCCGCGGGCTCGGGCAGGTCCGGAGACGCCCGGGGGTTCCAGCTCGGGCATGCTGGCCAGTTTCTCCAGGGCGGCGGGGGGCAACTTCTTTAGCGACTCCACGTCGGCCTTCATCTCCTCCAGGTCTCGCTTCAGTTTGGCGCGGCGGTTCTGGAACCAGGTGATCACCTGCGCGTTGCTCAGGCCCAGCTGCGCCGCGATGTGGTCTCGGTCGGCGGGAGAGAGATACTTCTGGTAGAGGAAGCGCTTCTCCAGCTCGTAGATCTGGTGGTTGGTGAAGGCCGTGCGCGACTTGCGCCGCTTTTTCGACGGAGGACGCGGCCCAAAGGCGCCCAGCTGGTCCCGGCCTGCAGGAAAGGCAAGAAGAAGCCGCCGTTGCGTCAGATAATTTGGCCGGCTGGCTGGTCAACCTTCTGAGCCCGGGCTTGGTCAGCCCGCGCTCTCGGCCGCGCCAGGGCCAAGGCAAGCGGAGCGGGGACTCAGAAGGGCGCTGGAGTGCCTACACCAGCTGCCTCTCCTCCTCCGCCCTCCCTCCTCCTCCCTCCTCCTCCTCCTCTGTCCAAGACCCGGGGCCCCTGCGGGCATCGCCTCCCGGAGCGAAAGTCCCCCTTCTGTTGTGTATGTAACTGTGGTGGGGGGGCACCTGGGCAGGAAGGAAAAAGCACCGTCACTGCGCCCTAATTCCAACCCCACCGAAGACTACAATCCTTTTCTGTTTCAAAATGAAACCCCTTTTGGGGAGCGCAGGGAAGGGCCCTTCAACACATCTCCTCCGATATTGCGGGGCCGGAGCGGTCTGGACGCGAACATTTGGAGCCAAACTGAGGCCCGAGAAGGAAGGGTAATCCCCACCAGTGGTCTTTGGTTTGGGGAGGACGCGGAGAGGCCCTGCCCCCCCCCTGAAATTGATGTTTTAATTGCACCCCCCCCCTTCCTGGCAAGGACTCGAAGGCTTGAGGTGAAAAACCCGGGAAGGCCCAGGCACCCCTTAGGAGGCAGCAGCCCCTTCGGAAGCGGAGCCGGCGAGAATTCCTTGCCTCTACCCACTGGTCTCTCCCCCCTTTCGGGCGGAGGGGATCAAAGCCTTCCCAGGTCTCCCAGCTTGGCAGGATCCCTCCGCCCCGCTGCTAACCGGGCAAATGTTTTTGTCGCCGATCCCTGGGAACCCGATCCTCCAGCGGGGTTAGGGGTCCGCAGGAGTTAAGCCTCTCCTGGATGTGTTAAGAGCGCCTGGAGAAATTGATTCTAGAATATGAAAAAACGCTCTCCGAAATCTCCAAGCAGGATTCAGACCGACAGGCAGCGATTTTCTCGCTCGGATTTCCTTGTTTTCCGAATCCCGCACTTGCTCCGAATGTAAAGGACTCGAAGGACTGGCCTCTCCCGAAGAATTTTTCTCCACCTCCTGACCCGTGTCTGAAATGCTGGGTTCCCCAGCTAATCGAAGTTGTTTTTGTGCCTTCTAGTTTCTAGCAGTTTCTAGGTGGAATAAATGCAGAAACACCGCCCGAGACAGCGTTTCAGTAGCGCCTAACGAAAAAACAGAGATCTTTACAATAAGCTCGAAGTTAAAGCAACCGACTGGTTTGATTGACTGACGAAAAGAAGCGCAAATCAGCTGATTTTGCCTGCCCCTTTTTTAACACACCCAAAAAAAATAACTGAGCTCAGGAATTAATTTGGGAGGCATTTTTCCATTTGCACTTTTGGAAAAAAAAAATAGCGGAAGGCTAAATAATTATAAAAGCAGATCAGGGAAGAAGAAGGGTGCAAAATATTCCTTGGTTTAGTAGGGAAATAAGGGTTTTTTGAAATGTCTAAAAAGTTAAGGTAGAAAAAGGGGAAACAATTTAAGATAAATAATGTAAGATGAATACAATTTAATGACATGTAATAAATTCTTAGGATTAGATGTGTTTGTGTATTATATTTTAATATAGAATGAAATTAAAACCATAATAAAAATTTGTAGAGTTAACTACATGGTGCAAAAATGTTATATATCTATATTTGTACTTATAAAATAACATTATTAAGATTATACTAATTATAGTTACGGCTTCAGTAAACTCTCATCTAGCTCACAGTTGTCTTTGCAATTTCATCCTTATTTTGGGAAGGAGATAAATCTCTCAATTTGACTGCCCAAACTAATTTCTGAGCACCGCTGTTGTTAATTATTTTGTTTTATTATCTTAAATTGTACATCGGCCATATCCAAAAGTTCTGAAATAATATTGCTTATTATTAAATTAAAATACTAAATATTATTTATTATTGTAATAACTGCGATGATGATTTTAAATGAAATAAACATCAGGTCTTTTAAAAAAAAATTACAGTCAGGATAGACGATTTAAATAAAAAAATTAAAACTGAGATTCAGGTGGAAAATTGTTTTAGAGAACAAAAAGATTATAAACAGTGGATGTAGATTCTGGCTAAAAGTGGGAAGGACGAATTGATCCCGGCCGGATTTGAGCTGGGCGTGGATCGCGAGGCCTCCAAGCTGTGGCCGGGCAGGATCCACGCTCGCTGGATGTGGGAACAAAACATCAGGGTCCTTGCAGACGCCGGGCGGAGGGTCGGAAAGCGGGCAGCGGCGGTGGGGAGCAAGGGAGGCCAACTCCAATACCTAGCGGGACTTGCATGCGAGCTCGGCAGCTTGGATTACCGGATACTCCCGCTGAGACCGGACCGACCTTAACGCGTCTGTTTCTGGCCGCCCAGCGGGAGCGGAGAAAACGGTCCGGTAGGAGCTCCAGAACCAATTGCCACAGCGCTTTGCTGCCCGCCCGCCGCCCGCGGAGCTCCGCTGGGAAGCCTGGAGCGGGATACCGTCGGAGGAGGCAGGGCTTCTGGGATTCAGCCGAACGAACAGATCCGAACAGCGGCCTGAGGAAATCCGCCGGCTACCGGCTGGGCTTAGAGCAGAAATGAAGACGCCGCCCGGGCTGTTTCTGAGGATCGGGACGAGGGAGAAATTCTGCGGCCACAAATCACTAGTGGGGCGACGGGCGAGCCACCCTGCGCTTCTTCTCCAAACCCAGAGCTGCCGCGATGGGGTCTTCCAGGGCACTGCGAGGTGGAAGCAGCCCGGCTTCCTTCAGGCATTCAGGCCCTTTGCAGCAAGAGACCCCCGGGTTCCCGCAGAGCGAGTAGGGGGCGCAACTGACGGCCTGACCCACTCGGCTCTTCCCGCACCCCTTCCCGTAGTCAGCCGCCCTTACCTTCGGCCGCCTGAAGCACGTTGAGTTCCAGCCCCTTGAACGTCTTGCTCGCCAGCTCCTCCAGGGCGCAGAGCGGAGAGTCGGGAGCGGGCACACGGTTCCGCGGGGTTCCAGCTGAGCCGGCAACCTTTTCCAGCAGGCGGGCGGAAGGGGCTTTGTGCCCGGAAGGTTTGCTGAGAATGTCTTCGATGCCGAAGGGGGTTAGAGGTTTGCTGGAATTGGCAGGGGGAGGGAAGTGGGCCAGGGGGCTCCGGCGCCTCTCTTCTGCTGCGCCCAGAGGCTGCCGCAGCGCGGGAACAGCCTTCCCTTCCTTCGCGGATGTCATTGCCGGGGGAGGGAGGGAGGGAAGGGGGAAGGACAGGCCCCGGCTTGTCCCAAGCGCCAGAGCGGGCCGGGTGAGGATTCAGCACCCCCTGCGGGTCATTAAGAGGCTGCCCTCGGGCCTCAAGAAACCAGACGCGCCAGCCCTGGATCGCGCTGAGCGGCCCACGACCAGGCCTAGGCGTTCAGAGTGGCACAACGCCCCCGCCCATCCCCCTTCTGGGTCGCCTCTGTTGCGGCGCGGGGTGGGGCGCCCGTCGGGTCTCCTGCGCCGTTGGCGAACCCGTACAGTCGCAACCAAGCCCACTCGGGCGCTCCAGCCTTAAAGGCGCACAGGCTGGACCGTCGGCTGGGCACGGCGTAGGAGGAGCCAGCGGCGAAGTGCTAGCAAAGTTCCTGAGTCTGAGGTGGGGGGAGGCGTGGGGGGACGGGGGCGGGAAGGGAAGGGGATCCCCGCTTCTCAGGCCACCGTCGCTATCGGGCCACCGACTCGTCGCTCTCGAAGGAACCACCGCCCCGTCGCTCTTCCGGAGCTTGCAGGTCGGCTCGGAATAACCGGCTCAGCTCCGGCGCCCCAACCCTGGCGCTCCCAAGGTGCAGCGGTGTGCTCGAGGGAACAAGACCCCTTCGGCCGTCCAGGTAGCGCCTTCCATGCGGACTCTGCTTATCCCGGCAGTCCCGCGAGAGCCGGCGGATCGGGCACCTCCCCCCTCCCTCCCTCCCTCCCTCTCTGCGAGGGAACGGGCTCCCTTCCCCGGGGCTCTCAACGCCCGCAATGCCCTCGCTGAGGCCAGCGCCGAGTCGCGTTCCAGGAGGAAGCCCCTGAGGCTTGGCAGCTCGGGTCCCGCCCGATCCACGTCTTTAGCTCCGCTGGAGAGGCGGAGGCCATTCCTAACGCCCTTAGCCTGCAGCGGCGAAGCCCCCTTTCTCCCCCCTTCCTTCGCAGGAGGGATCGGGAGGGGCGCGCCGTTGTTCTGGGGTGTACCGTGTTACAGCCTTCCAGCCCTCTCTGTCGCCCGGCCTTACAAAGGAGTCGCTTGGCGTCGGAGAGATCCAGTTCAGTCCCCAGCAAAGGTTTCCTCGGCCTCGATCGGAGATCGGTGCGGGAGTGAAGCAGGCAGAAGTGCCTCTCTGGCCCCAGCCTTCCATAGCCGGGACTCCGCTTGTTGCCCAAGGGTCAGTTATTGCCTGCCCCCCCCTTCCTTGTTTAACGTTTGTTATTTTTAGCCGCGCCGTCGTTTCTTCTCCTGAGGCGGAGTCAGAGGGTCCCGTTGCCGACCCCCTGCTCCCGCTCCTTCCCTAGCAGGCCCCGCCGATTCGCCTCTCCACCGGAACCTCCGCTCTTACCCTGGCGGATCCCGGACAAACTGAGGAGAGGACCCAGGCCGCACATTTGTTTACGCCCTGCTGCCGTTTGTCGCCCAGCCTGAGGCTCCCACCGCCTTTTCGGTGTCGGGGATCTCGCGTTCTTGCGCTCCTTGACGGCCAGGCCAAAGACTCGGCCGGTGCTACTCAGGTTCGCGGGGATCAAGCCCTCCTTGCCTGGGTAGCCTCGCCGCCTGTGGCCCAGCTGGGCGCTCAACCCTCCCCCCTCCCGCCGCTGCTAATGCAAGGCAGACGTGCAATATCCCAGTAAAAGGGGGTCATAAAAAGCGACTCCCCCCCCCTTCGCCATAAAGAGCCTTTCAAAGTCCCCCAGGCCGCCTGCCTGAAGCTGAGGGCGGCTGGGCGGCCCCGGAGCTCTTCTGCGGTGATGCTGGGCCAGCCTCCCCCGAGGAAGGGGCTTCTTGGGGCGCTCCCATCCCACCGGAGGCGGTACCCCGTGTTCCTCCCCTGCTCCGGGCTCTTGCTTGCCTGCAGTTTTATGGGCTCCCTAGCTCTAAATGGCCCATAAAAGCGCAGCGTCTGGGAGTGATTAAGACTCGCAGCGCAGGATTCTTGGCAGGTTTTGGATTTCACCGTCCCGGCAGGCCGTAAAAACCTCAGACAAATAGCTCCATGATCCCGCAAGCTTGTAAACCTCTTCCTTTGCCGGTGCCCTCCCCGGCCAGCTGCGGAGAGGCCGCGTCTTCCGGGAGCAGGAAAGGCAGCGATCTGGCAGGCTGGAGAACCGCCGGGAGGGAGCAGGGCAGCCGACAGCAGGCGAAAAATTGAACGCGGGCCCGCAGGCCCCGAGCCAGGCCCTCTCCAGGCCAGACGCACCCTTCCCCTCCGGTCCTTGGGGCAAATGGAGCTTGGGCCGCTAGCTCGGGGCGGGGGAAGCGACCCTTCCTTCGACCTTCCAAGGGAGACGCGGGCAAGTAAGAGACGCAGGCGCCCTTTCCCCAAAGGTCCCACGGCACGGAAGCTGCATCGTCCTGTTCCCTTACAGCCCAGCCTGAGCTGTTGGCGCTGCACCCGAACAGGGCAAGACCGGCTCAGGGCGGCCCGTCCGCATTTTTCCGACTCCCCTCCCCCATCCCGTAGCAGAACAGACCAGCCGGTCCAGCAGACCCCCTGCCCCCCTCCCCGCCTCTATCTATCTTCTTCAAAGGCTCCTTGGAAGCACGTAGAGACGAGATCCGTGCACGGGACGGCGAGAGGGGCGGGGCCCCTCCCGAGAGCCTTCCGCAAAGACCGAAAACTTCGCAGCTGCTGTCCCGGCTGCAATGACTCGAAGGGAAGAGTGGGAAACGCACGTGCAGTTTGTACGTGTGTCTTCTCCGATTTCTAGTGCCCGAGAGGTCCTACTAGGGTTCTAGGACCGTCTTAGTCAGGCGTCGGGTTTGGTCCGAAGGGTTTCCCGTCTAACATTTGCAAGACACGCCTAGGCTTCCCGGCTTCCTGCCTAACCTCTGGGCCTCAGCCTCCTGCTCTGCTCTCTATCTGCTCTCTATTCCACAAAATTGCGGAGACCGGCGAGAGAAGTCCCGAAGGCCGAGGCGCCTCTCTGGGCCCCGGGAGAAAGAGCAAGAAGACTGCGGAGGCCTCGATCCCGCTCAGCTGAAGCCCAAAGGCCGCGTACCGACGTTCAAGATAGCTGCACGTTTCCCAGCCGGTTCCCCCGGCGCTCTCGTCTCAAGGTGCCCCCAGTTATCTACCCGACTCGGTGCGAGGGAGCCAAAGGCCACCGGTCCGCTCTCCTCGCCTCCCTCCCTTTGCTTCGCCCGTCAGGCTTTCGGGGGACTGGAAAACGAGCCTCTGCTCGATATTTTGGCGGCGTCGGAGACCGGACCGGATTCTTCTCCTTTTGCCGAGACAGATTCCGGCAGGAGCTCTGGAGCTGGTCCCTTGCTCGGGCCTTCCCCGCCAAGAAACGTGTAAAGGGCCCGGGCGCTTTCCTTCGGCCACGAGAAGACAGCCCTTCCCAAGCCCTCGGCCCGCCGCTGGCAGAGAAAAGCGGAAGGGGCTCCATCTCAGCGCCGCCCAGAAAGACTCCCGCCCTGGGACGACGCTGACAAAGCGGCTCCCCGCGTTTAGGCCAAAGATCATCCGGACAAGCTCCGACGACCAGGCCCGGCATCTAGCGCGATTCAGCCTCTCGGCTCTCGCCTAGGTTTCGGGTAGGGATTTCTCGCCCGCCAAGATGTTTGTCCCAGGCCGGCGGCGGAAAGTTAAACGCAGCTGTCACTCTGCCTGGGCTCGCTCGCTTCTCCAGGCCGGAGCCTTTAATCCCCGCGCTCAGTGATAGATGGGCCGTTTACACGAGCGATTAGGAACGCGCGGAGGCCGCCGCCACACTGGCAATGGGGGAGGGGGGAGCGTCGCGTAGATGACAATTTTCCTGCATGGACAAATCCCAGAGCCCCGCTTCAGCTGCTGTGGGGGGGGGAGCGGCGGAAATGTGTGGGGATTTTTGGTCTGCTGTGCCCGAGGTGGCCCCGCGAGACGCCTCGATCGAGGGGGGCATATCATCCGCTGAGTGGGATTGCCGGCCCTTGGGCATCTCGGGGCCAAGGGTTTTGCTCGGTCTCTGACAAAGGCCAGAATGGAAGGGGGTGAGGAGAGATACCCTCCCCCACCCTCTACCTCCTTGTTTTTCCTCCCTCTCGCGACCCATCTTCGGGCGGGGAAATGGCGATGGGGAAGATCTGTGACCAGCGGTTCGGCTCTGGTTGGAGAGGCATCCCCCGCCCCCCGTCTGTCAGTTTAGGCCAGGCCGGGGCCTAGCAATGCGACAAATACTTCTGATGCTGAAGCGGAGCCAATCCCGAAGTGCCCGATGGATCGCGTCTCTCTTCCTTCTTGCTGGACACCATCTTTGGCAAAGTTCGAGCACTGCCTCGCAGCCCATGATCGTCGGTGAGGAGTGAGGGCCAGTCCTCTCCCACTGGCGCTTATCCCAGCTTGATGGGGCGAAGGAGGGCCGGGACCCAGGCCAAGATCCAGAGGGCGCGGGGATTGGACCCAGCCGAGCTGTCGCCCCACGCGTCATGGAGGAGGCCAACGGGGCAGGAGAAAAGGGCCGGAGGCGCAAAGCTCTTTTGCCCCACCCCTCGGCCCAGTCGCCCGTCGCGGGACCTGCGGAGGGAGGCGCCCGCCGGGCTCTTTCGGAAAGAGGCGCTCTGGAGAATTGTGCGGCGCTGTCGGGGCTCGGCGGCCTACCGTGGTCTTGCCGTTTCAGAGCAGCGCTGCAGGGAGGGGGGGGTTGAATGCTTGGGCGCTCGTTGCCCAGGCTGCCCCCCACTGCCCAGAGAGGCATTTCCCCCGCGCGCACGGAAGAAAAGGCTCCTGGATAGAACAGAGTATCCTTTTCGCGTTCCGCCTCAGAGTCACCCCGCGTGTTGCTATAGGATCAGCCGTTTCCAATGTAATCCTTCATGAGCCATTGGAAGGAGGGCCTGGATCCGGTCGTCTGAAACGTCCATCGCTTCTGCAAGTTGTTGCCACGGTTTGCCTGGAGTCCCCCAGCGGAACAAAGCTTCGCCGCCCCGTTCTGGAATAAAGGTGAACCCCCCCCCCTGCCTTCGGGGGTCCTTCTCCTGTGGTGCGCCAGCCATTATCCTACCAATTTCTTTGGTAATG